CTAGAATCACTGCCATGATAATTAACCCTATTTAAGTCTGAACCATGACCCTTAAGGACGTCAAAAGGCACTTGCTTGACAATAGGGGATTCTTCGTTAACATCGACGAACTTTGAGCCTGATCTCCTTCGACGATTAACTGGCATTATAAGCGACACGACCAATTATTTCCAGAAAATCCGTGAACGATTACCAAAGGATTTCGACTAAGTAATACTTGTTTAGAACTGTAGGATCCAAACTACGGTTTGGATGTTGAAGAATAGCCGACAGGGGGCTTTAGACACGCGCCCTTTCCCGTCGAAATCAGAACAAGTAATCGGGTAACTAGCGGTTCTATAATTCATAATAAATTTAATGTAAATCATTACCTAAACAAATATTATCACCCGGCTATTCAACCAATGATTGTTCAATCAATTAAATCTAAATTACAATAAATAAAGAAGTTGATAGAAGATGCAAGAAAATTACCAATCACCACAAATAAATGTTATTCTATCCTGTCTGGATAGATCACGTACAGATTCGTTCAAAAGGTAATAATTGGTCGCTCTATAACACAGAGTGTTTTCAATTCTGGAAGAGTGCTTCAATTCACAACCAAAATGCACAATTCCAGTCAATACAGGTCAAGCAATCAAAAGCAAGGATAAACCAAAATGGCTACCGCCCAGACTTAGTATAAAGTAAAACAACACAAGTGCAGCTCGGGAAGAAACATGGGGAATTGGTGAAGGTGTAGTAAAAACGAAACTATAATAAAATACAAATATTAACAATTCAAATGTAGTCAAAAAGTTAACAATGTACAACTAAAAGAATCAATAGGAACAAAGTGTAAGTATATACATGGAGGGATTTTCACAAACACACGAGGCACTCAAAATGGATCTTACAGTACCTTCACAGGAAAGCACTCGACGGAGCCTTGATTCAAGTAGTGATTTTTCGTTTACGAGGCACAAAAATGTTCATTAGGATCTTCATACACTTGATTGTCCGTGATAAACATTTCCGCTTACATTTGACCATTCATCGAACAATTATTGGTTGAGTAACATAATGATGATACTTATTTAGGCAATAATGTACACTTAAAATTGCGACGAAATTAGGAACCGTCTTTTACCCAACAATTTTCTTCCAAATTTTGACTGAACACAAGTATCTAAACTAGCCTAAACAGTTATTCCGAACTGTATTTGTTTGGAAGCTACAGGTAAGATAATTTGTCGCCCACTCTCTAACGTTGACCGTAGGCATACCGACTGAGACAACTTATCGTCACGTATGAATGGGGGTGTAATTTATTGTGATGCAACTAAGAAGACGCTTCCGCCTACTGTCTTGAAACAAAAAAAATTATATTTAGCGATTTCAGTATTGGCTGCTGAAGCGAATGGTGGTCCGATAAAGGGTGCTACAGAATCCTTATGAGCATAGTTTTGTACGTCATTTGTACGTATATGTGTGCTTGTTTGTAAAATCTGTCTTTGCATGCACTTTTGTGACGATTATTCCTTGCCTAACTCTTAAGCGTAACGTTGTCTCTTGACCCTTTCATTTTCATCACCTGTTAGATTTTTGGTTCTGTGCTGAGACTGTTATTATTTAATCCGATTACAATGTAATTTTCACGGTTTTTCGCTAATTTGTATGGTTTACAGTCTAGTTTTATTTGTTCCCACTTGCCTACTAACTTGGTGTGTGCCACGTTTTCCTCCCTGGTTTGGGTGCTGCTCTAGAAACTGATCATTCAGTACGTTCAAAAAGGATAGAATTTTGTTCCCCGAACATTAGGAGGACATAGTTTTCCCCTGACTGGTAGTGGTTTCGTATCATTTGCTCACCCACTTATTATATTGTGGATTGAATTGTTTAATCTTGTTGGACAAATTTGTGAACCGTATGGCCTAATAGAGCCACATTGTAGATTATTTAATGTATTTCATATTGATGGGTTTGCGTGCAGTCGTTGGTGATACACTGTATTTTTAATTTGCCTTTTAGAAAAAATATATATTCAATGTTTAGCTCATAAACAAGAACATTTGTCCTAATTCAAGGGGTCTGTTCAGCAAGTTCTCAGGTCCATCTATCCTCTGGTAATCTATATGAATCCTTCTAATCAAATTATTATTTCCGAACTGCAATATGGGTATGTCGAATCGAAATCATAAATACAACTAATAATACACGAGCGACTGGTCTATGTATGCAGCGAAAGGAAGGTTTGGAAGTGAGACAGTACAATATCTCTTTCCAGCGTATCATTTTGAGGATAGTTGATGATATGAACAGGTTTTTTGTAATTGGACAACATAGTTTTTCTGATTTTTATGGTGACGAGATTATTAGTTTTTAATGTGATTTCTTCCTTTTAGATAAATTTAAAGGAAGAGTTTTAGTCGGTTGGTTCCAGTCGTTGACAGCTCGATGTAATATTCAGCGAAGTTGCAGTTGTTCTGTATATAATTTTGAAGTGCCGTACTGAAGTGCAAAACAACCAAGCCAGAAATCAAGTAATTTAAAAGTAACAGCCACGTTGTACCCTGTGATATGATTATAGAAGAAGCAGAGCAATCGCTCTTGATTCATATGAAGGTTTACAGGCTCATGGAATGACATAAAGTATTTCAACGGTATACTATCTTAATTACTTAGGTAAAAATTCCAGGCTATCCCTTAGGATGAGATAATCATAACGTCGACAAGTTGTTTGATAATCGTTTCAATACAATTTGTGACACGTAAAGACGTCGCGGATATTCAGGTTTGACAACGCTTTTGTCGTGACACCTTCATAATCAAACGACACCAAACCAGTCAGACCAGAAACCAAGGATGGATGAGTCTGGAGATATATTTAGAAATTTGCTGATATGTTGAGAAGAACCTGATTGAAGTTGGTTAGTAGTTCAATGAGATGTGCATCATGACATATCCACTCACGATCTGGTGGGGATGCATGAGTGAGTGTGTTCCACTAGCGCGTTTCCAGCAAAACTAATGAGGCCAGCATCAGTGTTGAAGACCGCTTATTTTGGGTGTTTATTTACCGCGATGCACAAATATAATAGATGTCAAAGGGACCGTAGTTCCCAAGTGATGCATACCCATCATATGTTACATTCAAGAACTAAAGTGATCTCAGAACCTATCCGGCATATGGAGAAATTAAACGAGGTCAACCACCCAAATAGAAGTAGCAAGCCTTACTACATGATCCAACACTGAAAATAGCAGTAACATGGTGGCCATCAATAAAGGCATGTACATCTTTTACTCAGCTCTTCATAATAATGAGAATTTGGGAATCTATAGCACGTTCAACTTACGATTATCCTACCATGAAGAAACGATAAATTATTCTACGTTACAAAAAACAACATTGTGTAGATGTGGCATCATTAATCTTACTCAGACAGACAAAAGCACTAGCGATTGCAACAAAAACACAAATCATGAGAAACAAAACTCTGAGAGAATAACATAATAAATTACAGAGATGGAAAGAGGGAGTATATTCAGCCACAGTTTCATGAGCTCGACTAGAAGGTAAGACAAACCCAGGTTTAAAGGGAATGGTAAGAACCCCTTACTCTCGGTGGTCTATTATCTAACACGGAAATGAATCGGCTTGATGGACGGGTTAACTAAGGTCCATCGATATTTTTCTGGCCTTAAAACAGCGACTGAATAAACTCATAGCGGGATTCCGTCTGCTTATTCAAGTTTCCAAAATCTGCAGATAACATTTTTTACCAGCTTTGACAGGGAAGATTTATTAAAATCATCCAATCTCTTCTGGAAAACATATCGATAGGATTACCAAACGACCTACTTTTTTGATTATCGGTGACTGAAATCACGTTGATCTAGTTGTTAAATTAAACATTAATAGAAATACTGCTTCACAGGTGTTACAGACAAGAAGAAGAATAGATGCTCCATCTAAATAAAACGTAAGTAAAGTTGAGGGGCATACTAGTTCTGGAGAGAGATACGCAACCAAGACGATATACAGGCACTTCAGGAGGATCTGACTCGACTTCAAAGTTGGGCAGACGATAACGGACTTACATTTAACACTTCAAAGTGTAAAGTAGTCCATCTGCGACATGTCGCAAACTACAGTTACAACTTAGGAAACTTCTCTCTAGTAGTATCCCAAGTCGAAAAAGATTTAGGAGTCCTGGTGCCCCATGATTTAAAGTCTTACGCTAACTGTGACAAAAATGCCTTCCGAGCAAACCTTGCACTGGTAACGTTGAAGCGCATTTTTGGACAGTTTGACGGACGAACTTTCCATACAATCTTCAATAGTTTTGTAGCGGTAAATAAATCCCCAAAATAAATAGCTCTAAGTTTTCGACATTGGATGCTGACCATATGTTTTAGTGGACTCATCTAGCTGAAGGCGCTCGGTCAGGCATCCGCACCAGATCACGTGTGGCAACGCCGTGCTCAACATCAACCGCAATCGCTAGCCAGATTAGATCAGAGAATTCCGATATATTGGTCATCGCCAAATATACTCTTCCGATCTCCTCGACTCTGTCTTTTGATTTCTCTGGGCGGGAACGAAATATATTAGGTGTTACTGGTAGAAGCGTTGTCAAACACTGAATACCTGTGACATCATCAGTTTCATCCGTCCCCATTTAGAGTACGGAAACATAGTACTCCCCCTCACTCCAAAAGGACAAGGTCACTTTGGAGCGTATCCAACGACGAGCCACGAAATCAGTCCGAGGACTCAAATCTAAACCTTACGAAGAACGCCTCCATTCACTAGACCTTTACCCATTAGAGTATAGGCGTCTTAGAGGTGATTTATTAATGGCTTATAGTATTCTTAACACTCCTGGACATCTTCTTAAACACCTACTTAAGCTGAGATCGAATAATAACCTAAGGGGTAACACCCAGAAACTGGAAACACAACATAGCAAGACGGAATGTAGACACAACCATTTGAACCATTTAAACCATTTGGTGTTAAGGGTTCTGGCGGGTCCTGTTACTTCTGCGCTACCTAGGTTTGCTTTGTACATAATGTACATAAAGAAAGTCATCATACAAGGTTTTCGCAGCTATAGAGATCAAACATGCCCAGAAGAGTTCAGCCCGCATCATAACATAATAGGTATGATCTGTTTGACATCGATAATACCGATAGTTGGGCGCAATGGTTCTGGAAAATCGAATTTCTTCCAGGCTATACAATTTGTTCTTTCAGATGAATACAGTCACCTGAGTAACCAAGAAAGACAAAACCTTCTTCACGAAGGCACAGGTCCACGCGTTATTTCGGCTTACGTGGAAATGATATTTGACAACTCTGATAATCGGATTCCTGTAAGGACTTGTCCTAGCAACTTAATGTTTAGTTCGATAAAAATGAAGTCTCTTTACGGAGAATAATTGGTAGCAAAAAGGATCAGTATTTTCTCGACAAGAAAATGGTCACGTAAGCTTGGTGCTCTCATCTTACTTTTCCTGATTTTAGGAAAGCTGATGTTATGAATATGTTGGAAAGCGCTGGGTTTTCTCGTAGTAATCCGTACTACATCGTTAAACAAGGAAAGGTTAGTGGTTTTTTCATATCTTAGTTGCCTAAAGTGGGTTTCCAGCCTCTCCACTTACCTCATGAAGTACTTATACATATTTAACTATCATGTCCTAAGCACATTTGGAAAATGGTTACATTTCATAATTTTGCGTGTTACTATGTATCAGTTCAACTTGCTATCCATGTGGACTGCTACAAAGAGGCTCGAATTCTACATATCTACTGGCCTTTCTGACCTAAGTCTTTGGCTTATAACTAACATCACCTGACCGACTAATGTGTAGTCAAAGCACGGTCTATAAAATGCTAGTAATCACGGCATTAGCACTTTACTACATCCTTGACCTAATTCTTGATTTGGATTTAGATGCCCCCGCGTAATTACAGGTAGGTCATATCGGCGGATGTCAGTCTAGATCTCTTTACTCCGAATATATATATGGTCCCTTTCTTGTACCAATATTTGTGTTCAAATAAATAAATAAATACTCCGAGCGATGTTTAATCGACCACTTACACAAAAACTGATCAAGTATATCATGATGGGAGCACTTTAAAATATATTTAATTTTCCCTGATTTCAGAGGCTAGCATATATTAGTGCTAACACATCAAATTTGAAATTCGATATGAAGCCATGAGCATTGTCGTATTTTGGTTCCAACTTTAGTATGGATATATGATTCGTATGTTTACCTTCTTAATGATTCTGTCTTTCTAAGATTTAATATTATGACTAACTTTCTAAAACTAAGTTGATTTCCTAGTGATGTGTGGACGTCATTTAAATTGCTTACCCCTTAAACATTCGATCTCACGACAAATAGTAAGATTTAAATAAAGGTAGGCACACATCATATCAATTTTTTAAGACAATCAGATTGAGTCGCATTTTGTTGATATGGTACCGTAGATTTCTAACTGGAGATTGTTGTTTGCCATAATCTTCAAGTGGTTAATTAATTGTGAAGAAATAGGGTTGATACATCGGTAGTTCATCATTAAACTACCAAAAAACCATATTCTTCAGTCTGTCAATTGTAGAAAATGAAATGTCTTAACAGACCAATTTTATGTGACCGCGAAGTCGTATTCTCTTGTATAATGGCGATTTTTAAGATTACGTATAATTTACTCATTAATTAATTACTTTCGATTTCTGTTGACCCTATAATGTTGCTAGGTACAGCATCTTGAAAGAGTTATGATAAGTTTCGAGTGTTTGCAAAACGTATCTATCTGGGTATCAATACCAAGGTTGAACTTAGTTCCCAATAAATTGAGCAGTGGATAGAGAGTTAATAATAAATATATTTTTGTTATATCCTAATGAGTAGAAAAATTGTATTCCTGACGTTTCGTGACTTACTGTAAGCCTCTTCTTAAGAGTAAATAAATAACCGAATTACGTTATCACAAGCTTAAATAGTACAAAAGAAACAATACAGTTAATTTTTAGTACAATCAAAATAGGAATTGAAGAGGGAGGTTGATTATGAATACAGTGGTCTTGAGTGCTGTTAGAGGTATGAGAGCGGTTATCACTTCCCGGTTGCCCACACTGTGGAACGGTTCTTCTGGAGGCACCTGAAAAGGAAATTGGATTAGAGGTGGTCTTAGTGACCTGAGAGCGTGACCGCAGTGCCCAACGGACAACTGCTTGAAGTCAGCCACACTCTTTTTATGAGTAATTTTTGTGTTAGCTCCGTACTTGTTGAGATGGTTGAAAGTTAGGGGTGGCCAAACCAAAATGTGTCATCAGTGCTTGAAGTCACTAACTTCTAGTCTGAGCCATGTTAGTAGATGCAGACTACCTGGTTGGGGTCCGCGTGACTATCGTAACCAGTGGTTGGAGACTCTTGGTGACATGACTCAGAATCGATCACAATGGCGTCGGTGTATACACTCTCTGTCTTCCCTTAAACTAAGAGATTAAAATCGCTTCCTATCTTTCTTTCTACGAACTAATTCTTTCTTCCTGTACTATATCCTTATGCACAATCTTTCTTTTATATATTACCACCTCTGAATTAACTACTTTTATGAATCCGGTGTTCATCTTGTGTTAATTAGGTTTGGCAACTTGGACCGATGCATATATATGCCTGGTCCTACGTTGTAGCTGACTGACTGACTAGTACAATCAAGATCATAATAGGTCTGAATATGTCAATGTCAAGTTATTCTTGGTCAAGGTGAATTCGTATAATGGGTATGATGGATATACCAAGAGTATGGGATACAAATCTCTAAACAGTTAAAATAAAAATGTAAACAAGACTTAGCTATTCACTTGGTATTGTTTGTCTTATTTCTTCCCATTGAGGTTATAAACTGAAATTGATCAGTCTGTTATTGGTATATGTGCATACTGTGCGTATGCCTCGATATTGCCTTAATTCACAAGCTTTTTGTACACCTCAGTGGGAAGATACAAACCAAAAAATACCAAGTGAATTTAAATTCACCCCATTGCACAAGCAAGTGGCTATCAGGACTCAGTAGCCGAGTGGATAACACGATGGCGTTTGAAGCGAATAGTACTGGGTTCGAGTCCAATAGTGAACATCAACTCTGAGACACAGGTACATCCAACTGACGAGTCCGAAATGGGACGAAACGCGCGTCCTGGATTCCACTGCTAGCCACTATCCATCAAGACTTAGCTCTGTTCTAAGGAAACATTTAGCTATCCCAAGTAGTGAAAGACAGTTAAACTCTTTGATACAATTGCTCGACTTTTTATTTCATACTAATTCGTTAATGCTTCATATATCTTCCAACTAATAATACTTTATTTTTTTCCGCTGGAGATGTCAATAAGATCCAAGTAGTTCCTATACAAATTTAAGCTCAGTGGCTAATACTTTTGTTTCGTAATGCACTTTCAAGCTTGCAAACATTTAAACTCATTAGTATTAAAGCTTCGAGTCCTAATTTTTAGCTTTCGATGTAAGTTTTGTGTTTGACTGCATATTTGTTTTTCAGATTACTCAGTTGGCTACTGCACCTGATCACCAAAGACTGAAACTGTTGAGAGAGGTTGCGGGAACCAGAGTCTATGATGAACGGAAGGAGGAAAGCAAACAAATATTTAAAGAGTCAGGTAGACATAGCAGTTAAGCTCTTTTTATAGTTTGATTTCGAAGATCTTTCAATAAAATCAGTAATTTTTGCTTGTTTCGATAAGCCATATGTTGATCACTTCGTAGGTGCGACAACAAATCAAATACTTGATTACTTCAACGTAAACTTTGGTCACTTGCGCTTTCAAGTACCATTTTAATTTCGTACCAACATTCGCTTTTACTTGTTTCGCACTACGTCATTTATGTATTCCCCTTTATTCTCACTTTGTGTATTCTTATTTTTCAACTTACACAGCAGCTCGCCTATGGTGGAAACCCTGTCTTATTTAAACCATCGCAAGTCACTTACCCAGAGCTTATAAGTGGGACTTTTCGTGAAGCCGCAAGCGACTTTACTCACCATTTTCGTGACTTCATTCAATTGCAATCAATGCTGATCTATACTTTTCGGTGGAATGGTAGCTAGCCTTGAACATAGCTCGGTTTGATACTGTTGAGGCTAATGTCCTCAATATCTGACTCCAAATAATAATATCCCGTAACTGAGTATTTTAGGTAGGCTTAATCTCCTGAACACCAGTTATAGAGATAGTTTATTGTTAATGAATAATAATAATCCACAAGCGTACGGTGAGCAAGCACACGATGAAACAGAGGGAGTGAGTGAGTATGTGTGTGTTTAAAATCCATATATATTTTTGCGAGTTAATCGGGTGTGGATAAATTATCGATTATCTGCACATTGAAACCAATAGGAGGATAGCTTAAGAGTTAATGTACAGACATGCATTCGATCATACACACCGAAATTAACATAGTGAATCAAGAGTCTAAGTTACAATGAATAGACAGATGATACAGTGGCCAAATGGGCTTGCCACAATACCTATTTGCAGCAGAAACTGTAAGCAATTTGCTGACATCGATCCGTTTAGGACGATGAATTTGTCAGCCACTGAAACGTAAGGTAAGATTAGCGTAAACAAGGTCATGATCAGAGTCCAGATAAGTACTCTAAAAGGAGCGGAAGTCTTGTACACAACCACGCCAGCTTTAGCTGATCGCAATGTGACATGAGCGTTCAAAACTCCGGCTAGTAATACAGTATCTGTCTAACGCGCTCTCTGTAGAAAAAGTTAAATGGTGGTAAAACTCATCCTTGATCGCGTTTGGGCTGCAATCCGTCAAAGCATAGGCGATGACGAAAAGATGTCGTTTCTCACACAAATTTCTTCGCACTTCGATGGAACGTTCTAACCTAACAGCACATAACCGACTGTTAATAGGGATCCAATCGATCAGTGCTATCTCGGCTCTAGCGCCTAGCATGACACCGACGCCAGCAAAACCAAACGAAGATGGCACAGGGTTTCCGGATAAACGCACGTGAAACAATCTTTTCGAAGCGACAAATGGTGATCGAATTTGTAGTATTTCACTAGAGTTTTGAATACGGCTCTCGGATAGACAACGGAACTCGATATTACGACTTTCTAAAGACAAGCCAATCCTATTTTTGTCCGACTTACATTAGTGTGCGAACATTGAAGGAAACCAGTTTGAATGGTATATGTGGTATCAAAAAGACTGTTTCAGTATTCGTATTCGGCGGTAGCATTCAACTTTCGACCGGTCACTGACTCGAGATCGTTTAGATAGGACAGGGTTTCCACCATAGGCGAGCTGCTGTGTAAGTTGAAAAATAAGATTACACAAAGTGAGAATAAAGAATACGTAAATGAAGTAGTATGAAAGAAGTAAACGCGAATGTTATCAAATGATTGTGAGTGGGATTTGTCTGAATGCGAGTTGAAGGAAGAATACTTCTTCCAGTAGTAATCATTATTTGGTCTGTATGAGAGCTGTGATACTGCTCGGGTGCCCAAACTGAAGCAGGTGATTTTCTAAGGGGATTGTACTCCGGACTTTTGACCTAAAGGTCTAATCCACAAGGCAGTGGAGCAACGTTAGGAGATACAGTGAGTCCGAAAAGTGCCAATTTTCTATTCAAATGTATTAGTGTATTACTAACCATATCACTATTATGGAAGTATAACGTTATTCATAGATTAACATAACAATATTGCTTTCTCACTAATAAAAAGGACTACATAAGGTCAGCTTCGAAATAGCACAATTTTAATCAATATTTAATCATTATAAAGAATTAATTTCAAACACATTTTCTTGCCTAATTTTATATTTTTTTTATCAAATATTCCGTCTTAAAATTAATTACCAGTAAAGTACAAATCGTTTTCTCTCGATAGAAGCCAAACGAGAACAGATATCTGAACTCTTAAACAGCATCGAAGATCGATTACGAACCCTTGAAAACGAAACAAAAGAATTAAAAGAATATCAACATTGGGATAGAGACAGACGTGCGTTGGAATTTACCATATACGATAGAGAGTTGAAAGAGACTCGAAAAAAATTAGAAGAAATACAAACTCGTCGAGAACAGAGCAGTGAAAGTACAGCTGAAATTCGGCGAGCTGCCAAAGACTGTGCGGATGCTATAGAGGTAGATGGCGTTTTATATTCTGTTCTTAATATAAATTAATGTTATTTATTTTAATTTATTCTTTAGACAAGCATGTACTAACCGATTTGTAGTTAACCAGCCAAATTTCTCTTATTTTAAAGTGTTTAGAAAAGGATACTCTTACTTATCCGATACGTCTACTCATCAGGCAATAATCAAAGCATGAAATAATATGTATTCATGTCTTGATCGACTAAAAATAAAAAAAATTGAAGCTGTACCATTAGTCTTTTTCTTAGTGTTTGTCTTAAATTATTTTCAAGCATTGATAGGTTCTGCATTGAGTAGTCTGTCTCAGATTAGACATTAAATTCTAGTGAGAAAATGTGATTACTTCAGTGCGATTATACATCGAACAAAATAATTGGGGTATGTGGTAGGTTCGGTATGTTATAACACCTGTTTCTGCGCCATATTCTGTCGGGTTAAAATCTCCTGGTAGGTAGATTTAAAATATCTATGGACATTAATTTAGAAGTGAAAGAAGGAAAAGATATTAGGAGGGAATTTCTGGTAAGGAATTAATTTCCAGTTTTACATCGTGAACTGAGTTTACCTAGGTAAATATTGAAAACCAGGCAAGATCGTATATTTGTTTTGTTTTATTATAGTTGGGCATTGCTGTGGAGTCGTAAATTAAGAAGAAACAATTTTCAACTGCTTCATAGTTTTCAATGATTATTCAAATGAAGTTAGTTTGTAGTATAAAGTAGAGATTTAACTGTCCCCAAGAACCTCTGTTAAGAAACTAATCATTGAGTCGAAGTAATCAATTATCCCTAGGTTTGCTTCTAAAGACACAATTATTCACAATCTATATTCATAAAATAGTTATTTGCTTATACCTAGTATTCGTTTTGTTTTCTCTGGAATACATCTTTATATATATATATATATATATATATATATATATAACACTTTCCTCGTCTAGATTTCCAGGGGTCGAACTTCTACCGGGAGGTTCACTTGTTGACTTAGAATATGACGATGACATAGTTCTATTTGGTGAAGACGCTGACAGAATGCAGAGTCTTCTGACCACTCTAAGCAACAATGCAAGCATGTTCGGGATGCGATTCTCCCCCTCGAAATGCAAAATGTTGCTTCAGGATTGGGTTACATCGACACCCGAACTAGTGATAGGGAGTGAAGTAGTTGAGTGTGTCGACCGCTTCACTTATCTTGGAAGTCTCATCAGCCCTTGTGGTCTGGTGTGTGACGAAATCTCAGCACGGATACAGAAGACTCGACTAGCTTTTACCAACTTGCGTCATTTATGGCGTAGGCGAGATATCCGTCTATCAACCAAAGGACGTGTTTACTGCGCAGCAGTTCGTTACGTCCTACTTTATGGCAGTGAAACAGGGCCGGTAAGAGTAAAGGATATTCGTATGCTACTAGTATTCGATCATAAGTGTCTTCGAAACATTGCTCGTATATCCTGGGACCATCGAGTAAGTAACTCAGTTGTTAGGGAACGGGTAATAGGTAAGGATGGCAAATCAATTGATGAAGTGGTGAAACTTCATCAGTTGAGATGACTGGGACACGTGTTACGTGTTACGTATGCCCAACGACCGACTGCCTCGACGTGCGATGTTTTATGGTGTAGGAGTAGGTTGGAAGAAAGCTAGGGGCGACCAAACCAAAACATGGCACAAGTTCATGAATTCACTGACAAGTGGACTGAGTCATGTTGGTAGGTGTAGACTACCTGGTTGGGGACCGCGAGATGAAAGCAACCGATGGTTAGAGACCTTGAATGACATGGCTCAGGTGCATCCACTCTTTGTGTTCTTCCAAATTCTAATCTTCTGATTTCTTCATTTTCCTTTCTCTTTTTCTCTTTCCAAATTTATTTCGCTGGATTATAGTCCTTGAATAACATCTTCAAACCCTAATTTTTCTGATTGCAGCTTATAATCTTACTACATCTAGCACTACGGGGTTTGAATCGACCACTGCATCTGTGCTAATGTGGTGTGGCAACTCGAACTGATGTACGTACGTACGAAGTTCTACGTTGGGACTGACTGACTGACTGACATTTTTATATTCTATTGTCACTTAATATTCCTTGAGTTTGTAATAGCTTAAGCTGGTGAGTCTTTCACTGCATACTCTTTGTTTTACAATACAAGCGCTTAAATGTGATCTGTTCGTTTGGAAGTCTACCCAAGACTAAGAAAGTAGATGTCACTCACTTCACTTCCGTAAATTCTTCATTATAATTTCGTGGTTAGCATTTCAATTACTCGTTTTGTATGTCGTTAAGGCGAAATGCTGTATATCATTAGTGCTATTACTAAATAACATTTAATAAGTAAAACTTCATTAAATAAATGCTACTTTATCACATGTGATCTGTGGTTAGTCAATGTATGTTTTCCAGTTTATCGACCTATAGCGCTTGTTTTCAGACCTATATGTTGCAGGCTTAAATTCCACTCTTCCTACTTTGATCATGGCATTTAACTGGTATCTGTAATCCCAACCCAGTAGCTGTGGTTCAAAACCTAGAGGTCAAACTTGAATGTAATTACTGTGTTGTGTTAGTATTGCTATTAACATTCATTCATAATAATCGAATATACTGATTATATTTCTTTCTTTTTAGAAACTAGAAAGGGATCTAAGAGACAATAGATTGAAAGAAGCTCAGATGCAAGATGAAGTCGAGCAAGTCCAAGCATCTGTAAGTGATGTTCTTCAACGCCGTGAGCAACTTCAACTCACTATAGCTGATTATTCAGCAACTCTTCGAGGTGGTAAATCTGCGCGTGAGCGAGCTTCTGAAGAACTAAATCGTGTTAGAGAACAAATAAACCAAGTTGAACGTCGGCTAGCTGAATTACGACCTCAGTATAAAAAGGCTAAGCAGTTTGAAGATGAATTAGCGAACGCACTTAGTGATGCTGAACATCGTAGGTGAGTAAACATAATTTCATACACATTTGACCGATACAAACCTTGCGGTACTTTACTTACTTACGCCTGTTACTCCCAATGGAGCATAGGCCGCCGACCAGCATTCTCCAACCCACTCTGTCCTGGGCCTTCTTTTCTAGTTCCATCCAATTCTTGTTCATTTTTCTCATGTCTATTTCCATTTCCCGGCGTAATATGTTCTTTGGTCTTCCTCTTTTCCTTTGGCCTTGAGGATTCCATGTGAAGGCTTGTCTTGTGACACAGTTGGGTGCTTTCCTCAATGTGTGTCCTATCCACTTCCAGCCTTTCTTCCTGATTTCTTCCTCCGCTGGGATCTGGTTTGTTCTCTCCCACAGTACGTTGTTGCTAATAGTGTCCGGCCAACGGATCTGAAGTATTTTGCGTAGACAACTGTCAATAAACACATGTATTTTCTGAATGATGGCTTTCGTAGTTCTCCAGGTTTCTGCCCCATACAGTAGAACGGTCTTGACATTTGTATTGAAAATCCTGACCTTGGTGTTGGTTGACAGTTGCTTTGAGTTCCAGATGTTCCTCAGTTGTAAATATGCTGCTCTTGCTTTGCCGAACCGCGCCTTCACATCTGCATCAGATCCACCATGTTCATCAATGATGCTTCCCAAATACGTAAAGGTTTTTACATCTTCCAAATCTTCTCCGTCAATTGTGATTGGATTGATGCATTCTGTGTTGTATCGGAGAATCCTGCTTTTCCCTTTGTGTATATCGAGACCTACTGCTGCTGAGACTGTTGCAACACTGGTCGTTTTCTCCTGCATTTGTTGTTGCGTTTGGGATAGAAGGGCCAGATCATCTGCGAAGTCTAGATCGTCCAACTGCATCCTAGATGTCCATTGTATCCCGTGATTCCCTTCAGATGTTGACGTCTTTATGATCCATTCGATCACCAGGATAAAGAGAAAGGGTGAGAGTAAGTAACCTTGCCTAACACCGGTCTTCACTTCGAACGACTTTGTCGACTGTCCTCCATGCACGATTTTGCAGTGTAATCCATCATATGAGCTCTGTATGATATTGACAATCTTCTGAGGCACGCCTTAGTGTCGAAGAAGTTTCCATAGTGTTGTTCTGTCCACGCTATCAAATGCTTTCTCATAGTCAATAAAGTTGATGTAGAGTGATGAATTCCATTCAATTGATTGTTCCACAATGATCCGTGGTGTTGCGATTTGGTCTGTACACGATCTATCCTTACGGAATCCTGCCTGTTGGTTTCGAAGTTGGGCGTCTACGCAGTCCTTCATCCTGTTTAACAATACCCTGTTGAAGACTTTTCCGGGTATTGAGAGAAGAGCGATGCCCCTGTAGTTATCACACTTGCTGAGATCGCCTTTCTTCGGTATTTTGATCAGGGGTCCTTCTTTCCAGTCTTTTGGTACTTGTTCCTCATCCCAAATCTTATTGAAGAGAATGTGGAGTATCATTGCACTTGCCGCTATGTCTGCTTTTAGTGCCTCTGCTGGAATGCTGTCTGGTCCTGCTGCTTTGCCTGATGGCTAGGCTGATTTCTTCAATTGTTGGTGGGCCAACATTGATTGGGAGGTCCATAGGTGCTGCCTCGATATTGGGTGGGTTCAGTGGAGCTGGTCGATTCAAGAGTTCTTTGAAGTGTTCTACCCACCTGTTTTGTTGCTCTTCAATGTTGGTGATTACCTCGCCTTCCTTGCTTTTTACTGGTCGTTCTGGTTTGCGGCGATTTCCAAAGAGTTTCTTTGTCGTGTCATACAGTTGTCTCATGTTTCCTTCTCTTGCAGCCTTTTCCGCCGTCGTTGCTAAATCTTCCACATATTTACGTTTGTCGGTTCTGATGCTCCTCTTCACTTGTTTGTTTACTTCTGTGTATTCAGCTTGTGTCTTGGCTTTTTCTGCTCTTGTTCGACTGGTATTGATTGCTGCTTTCTTGTTCCTCCTTTCTTGAATCTTATCCAGTGTATCAACAGTGGTCCATTCCTTGGGATGGTGCTTCTTGTGACCCGGGACCTCATGACATGTTGAAGTGATTGCCTCTTTGGTCCTCTTCCAGTTGCTCTCCACAGTAGTTCCTTCTCCATTGAGTAGATCATGAAAGGCCTGGAACTTGTTGCTGAGGTCTATCTTGAATTCGTTGAGTTTGTTAGTATCCTGAAGAAAGGCCGTACTGAACTTTTGTGATATTGTCCGCCCCATTGTCCAGTGCTTCTTGAGTTTCAATTTCATCTTGGCGACCAGCAAGTGATGATCTGAGGCTATATCAGCTCCTATCTTGGTTCTCACGTCCTCTATAGTCCTCCTGAACGTTTTGTTGATGCAAATATGGTCGATTTGGTTTTGCGTGGTGTGATCCGGTGAAGTCCATGTGGTTTTGTGTATGCGTTTATGTGGGAATATGGTGCCGCCTATGACCAGCTTATTGAAGGCACATAGGTTTGCAAATCTCTCACCATTTTCGTTTCTTTCTCCCAGTCCGTGTCGTCCCATGATGTTTTCATATCCAGTGTTGTCCGTTCCAACCTTGGCATTGAAATCTCCCTTACGGTACAGTATAGTTACTTTTATTGAAAATTTTCAAGATCAGAGTATCACAATTTATTTAGTGAGTACCATGATTATCAAACTCTCTAACTCAGAAAGTATCATTTAATCTTCGTTCAAATTATTTGATATTTGATGATAACGTTTTAATTAGGTTAAGATGTGAAGTTGTTTTTTTAGGTTATTTTAGACTTTCTGCTTGACTTATGATGATTTAAAAATAAAGTAGTTTGCAAATACTTATTTATTTTAATAGTTGAATTCATGAGTCAATTGAAGCTAGACCGCCATGAAAAACCTGGGAGCACTGGACGGCCGTTTCGTCCTAGTTTGGGACTCTTAACAGTGCGCATCCACGATCCAACCCCGTGAAATTCGAACCCAGGACCTATCGGTCTCGCGCACGAACGCTTAATTTCTAGACCACTGAGCCGTCATTCAACGGTGTTAATGTCTAGCGTCAACGAATCCATGGTGACCCAGCTTCAGTTGACTCAATAATTCAACCATTAAATTACTATTATATCCACAAAACCCCTCTCTGTTTATTTATTTATTTACAAATATATAAAGTAAATTGTAAAAAATAGAGTTGTATGTTATTTTGAACAATATCAATTTCTGCAAAACACAAACAACATTCGCATGAGAATAATATAAATTCATCTTAATTTCATGAATTCTTTTCAGAGATGTTTACAACCACAACATAATAATAATAATATCAATCATTGAAGCTAAATATACATATTTTATAGGTATCAATACCGAGGTTAGACCTGATAGTTTCAAATAAATTGAGCATTGGATAGAAAGTTAATAATAAATATATTTTTTGTTATATCCCAATGAGTAGGAAAATTTTATTTCTGACCTTTCGTGACGTAATGTAAACCTTTTTCTTCAGTTATTTATTTACTCTGAAGAAGTGGCTTACATCAAGTCACAAAACGTCGGATATACAACTTTTCTACTCATTGAAATATAACAAAAATATATTTATTATACATATTTTATATCGTATTTACAAAAAAATGTTACAAAGAAAATCCAATAAGCTTTCACTTTTATTTGTTATATTAAATTCTTTTCTTATTCAGTATATCATAAGTGGTATAAATAGATAACAAGTTACATCATTATAAATATTTTTATTATGTAATATCCCCTTTAGAAAGGAATTATTCGCTAAACAAGGAAGAGTCAATCAATTTCAATCTCGTAGTCAACGTGATGAATGGATTAAAGATCAAATGAAAAGTTTATCAAAAGCTATAAAAGATAAAGAAAATACTATAAATAAATTAACAGAAGAGATTAAACGTGATGATGAAAGACGAGAAAAACTACAACAAGATTTAGAAGTGGCTGAAGAAAATATGACATGTGTTCGAAAAGAATTAGAAACGGTAAGTTAATTAAAATCAATCTTTACTACTGTTACTTATTAAATGTATCATTATGAAGCTGTTTTGTATCTTTATTAAGTTGTTTAAAGTTGTAAAACAATAAAATAGGCTTCTGATACTAATGAAATAGATTGTTTTTGACAATGGTAAAAACAAAAGAATGATACTATGAATAAATTTAATAGCTAAAATATTGATTTATGAAATAAGTTTTACAAGCTATTTGTGTGGAGATCTGATCATTTGTAAATGAAAGTATATTTTGAAATGATGGAGAAGTTTTACAGCTCAGGTAGATGTTTTGGTGTTGTTGAGTTCTCTGAGTTGGATGGTTTAATTGTGGAGCTTTCGTTTTTGTTTTGGACAACATCCTCTGTGCCTAATTCGTGTTGAGCTCAACAACACCAAAAGAAGCATATCTTTATTGTTTTTGTGTTCTACATTTTCCCCCTTTTCAAAAGGTTAATTTCGTTGTTGTTAATTCGTCTTACGATAATTTTAAGCAACTTTTTTTCTCTATCCACTCTTCTGTTTTCCGTTCATGTTTCATTTTTACTAACAACTGGTAAATGTCAGTATTGCGTTTTTTCCACTTCTAAGGTATCTGAGGAACAACGTAGACTTCGTCGTGAAAAAGATGAAATTCAAACGGACAGACAAACTGTTTATCGAGAAGAAACTAGAATAGCTCACGAACTGAACAATTTACGTGATGAGTTGGCCCGTACTGAACATAATTTACGATCGATTACAGGCAAAGGAATTTTGAATGGTTTGGATTCTGTTCGTAAAGTGAGCAATTGTCATATTTTTTCATTGCATGGTTTGTAACGCAAACTTAGGTTTGAAATACTCAATATTTGCTAAAATCACGGGATTTTGTATGTTACTTCTAATTGTTGTTCGGTTCCAAATTGGAAAGCCTCTAAAAATGCATTGTTCTTGGTATGATGTTTTCTTCAATGTTATTGACAGGGAGGAGATTAATGTTACTCAAGGTTTTGTGTAGCTGGTGCAAATACTTTCCTGTTACCAATATTTTAAGATCATTTTTCACACTTTCCAACATGTTTAAATATTTACTTCGATTCTTCGTGATTTGTAAATATCTCGGTACAGTCAATATTTTTATTATTGTTGACTTTCAGGATTTATTTTTAAAATACACCACATACTCATATATTCTTACTTAACTATTTGTAGGTTGTTGAAATATTTCGTGATCGTTATGGCCCAGATTGTGATATTGTACAAGGTTATCATGGAACATTGATAGAATTAATTGATTGTCCAGAAACATTTTATACTAGTGTAGAAGTTACAGCTGGTTCACGTCTATTTTATCATGTTGTACAGAATGATAAATTGGTTATTCGTATGATTGCAGAAATTAATAAACATAATCTTCCTGGTGAAGTTAATTTTCTTCCAATTAATCGCTTATGTGTACAAGAATCTTCATATCCAGAGACAAATGTAGGTTATTTGTATTTTCAATTCTCCCTGTCTTTTTCTATGATGTTATTCAGGCAGCCTAGACATATTCTGGTTGATGCTATATAGTTTTTGAAACTACTGCTTAACCGTTGAAAGTTGTTTAGTGTTCTAACTGTTATGCCACCATTCCACACCTGTCATTGTTAATCGTCAAATAATACAGTGCTAGATTTGCAGTACTTCTTATTTCCAGGGGTATCCTATGTCAACAGTACTACTGCTTTTTTTTCTAATCTAATCCTCTTTAATGTAGAATCATGAAGAAGTATCACATTCCGATTCATGAATATTTCTCCAGGTATTTCAAGTAAATGAACATGAGTAAAGTTACAAGATGTACCAGGAACACCAAGATTAGCAGGGTATTGATTCTAGAGGGAACAAATAAATTATCCTGTTTTTGAGAATAGGCTAATCAGCCAATATGAAATTTCAAACACACGAGAACACCAAAGAGTTAAAGCTAAAAAGGGTTAAGAACAACTGCGAGTAGAAGAGATTAAACTCATTCACTGAAATTGATGAGTAGCTCGCTACAGAAAGCCAATTTGTGCATCACAATGTATATATCGTAGAAATACTATAATATATGTATTACTACTTCCTACCAGTTGTCAGTGTATAGAGTATAATAAGAAAATAAACAAGTTTAAAACGATGTTTTGTAATTAATAAACCCGTTGATAGTATTACATGTAATTTGTTAACCGCTCCAAAGTTTTGTCTATTTCTAGGCTGATTTTTGTTTTTATAGCATGTGGGCAGAATCCATACCCCCTTAATCAGATGTAAAATATTTTTAGAATATATTGACGGGATAGTTTAGACGTTGTAGTTAAAATACGTCAATATTTTGTGAATTATTTTTGTTTCATGATGATTAGTCCACCGACATTGAGTAGTGGCAAGAAATTGAACATTGAAAACCCGTTTTTAATGTTAATGAGAAGCTGCTACCTTGACGCGGTGGTCGGGCTTGCCTATCGTGATGACCCAACCGAGCTATATTGGCTGGAACATATGTTCCTGTAGGTTCCACCATGCCAAGCAGGTCGATTGGTGAACGGTAAGACTAAAAGCAGCAACTCAAGGCCTGAGGGCGAAGTCGTACTGCTGACTGTAGAGAGGTGTGACAGCAGTAAGGTGTTTCCCTCGGACAACCAGCATGACAGCGATGCTGCCTTCCCACAAGGAGGGATGGGGTTAGAAAAGGTCGACCCTAAAAATGTCACACCTTACCTCACGGATTTCCGTCTCCGGCAGTAAGGCCCTTTGAAGAACGGAGCTAACACGTCAAAAACCTTCCACAAAAAGGCTGTGCGCGACCGGCCTCAAGCAGTTGTCCCTTGGGCTCTGCGGTCACGCTCCCAGGTCGTCAAGACCAACACTAATCCAATTTCCTTTTCAGGTTCCTGAAGAAATACCCTTCCACGGTGTGGGCAGCCGGGAAGTAACATCAGCCCTCATACCCGTAACAGCACACGAGACCAAGTTGGTCACATTCAAATCCTTCCTACACCTCCTAATACCTCTCTTATCTCCATGGCTAACCCTCCTCACGTCTCTTTATCACCTCGCACCGCTAGGGCAAACGATTCGAGTACGTGGAACGCTATTCCTGGTCTCCTGAAACCACGCTCTAAACTACACGTAGGAGCTTTTAACGTACGAACACTGCCAAATGAGACAGCAGGCTTCCTTAGCTAGGACTTTAGAATCTCGCGCCATCGATGTGTGCTGCGTCTCCGAAACGCACATACAGGATCCGAGTAGCGTCATTCATTTGACCTCACCATGCTAAAATAAAGAACCGACTCGATTTACACTTCGTGTATCTGGAAGCCCAGATTCTGCTTCCCGTAGCCTCGCCGGCGTAGGTATAGTATTGAGTCCTAGGGCAGAACTAGCTCTCTTAGAGTGGATCCCAGTAGACAGTCGTTTGTGCGCTGTCCGACTGAACGGAACAGTAAGAATCCGGAAAAATGTGGACACTCGTCGTTGCCTCTTCGTCGTTTCTGCCTATTCTCCCACTGACTGCAGCTCAGATGATGTAAAAGATGAGTTTTAAAGAAAGCTTTCCGACCTTCTCCGAAAAGCTAGGCGCTCTGATGTAGTAATAGTAGCCGGTGACTTTAATGCTCAAGTAGGTAAACTAAGCGATGGGGAAAGACACCTAGGTGGATCTTATGGTGTCGTGGCTCAAAGAACAGATAATGGCGACCGTCTGTTGCAGCTATACTCAGATAACCGCCTGTTCCTTGCAAATACTAACTTTAAGCATAAGGAAAAACATCTTTTAACATGGAGACCCCCTAATTCGTCCCAACGTTGGACCCAAATAGATCACATCGCTATTAGCCACCGATGGAGGGGCTCGATAGAAGACTGTCGCTCATTCTGGAGCACATGCCTAGATTCAGATCATGCTCTAGTGCGAGCGCGTATTTGCTTGCGTCTTACTGGACGTAGGAAAGACGCTGCAAGGAAACCTCTTAGGGGCCTACTTAATGATAGTCAAGCTAAGAGTGTATTTGAGGAACAGCTAGGAAAACAGTTAGGCAGCCATGTTTGTGATGCCCACCCCGGTGCAGCATGGAATGATATCCGAAAAGCTGTGGAAACAGCAGTGATATCTGCTAGTAAGGTAAACCAGAAGGTTAGGGAGCAACACTGGATCTCAGCAGCATCTATCGCACTGATAGATGCTCGGAAACTCATTCCACCTGGCTCTGAACATAATGAAGAGCGGAGTCAGCTTAAGCACAAGCTGAAAAGAAGCCTACGCAATGATCGCGAACAGTGGTGGGTAGCGAAAGCAAGAGAGATGGAAAAGGCAGCGGCAATAGGTAATAGCAGACAATTGTTCAGACTTGTTAAGGAAACCGGCATTAGGAAACCGACTGTTAGCGAAACAATCTCAGAGAAAGATGGACATATTATTCGTTCTCAATCCAGGAGATTGGATCGATGGGCAGAACACTTTAGGGATCAGTTCAACTAGCCTTCGGTTTCCCACGATCTCCAGTTAACCTGAATGGCAAGTTAATGTAGGTCCTTTGTCTCTTTACGAAGTTGAAAAAGCCATAGGAAATCTGAAGCGAGGGAGAGCAGCAGGCCCTGACAGGTTTACTCCTGAGATTTTTAAGGATGGCGGTTCAGTATTAGCAGTGAGATTAACCGAGGCCTTGGGTAGAATTCGGGAACTGGACGTAATCCCATCTGACTGGTCTCAATCACTGATTGTGCCAGTCTATAAGAAAGGACAATAGTCCTCTTGTGACAATCACAGAGGAATCAGTTTGACTAATATAGTGTCTAAAATATTAGCTTCCATAATACTTCGACGCTTAATCAAAGCTCGTGAAGAGCAGATTAGAGAAAACCAGGCCGGTTTTCGACCTGGACGTGGTTGTATAGATCAGATATTCACACTACGTCAGGTTCTAGAACACAGACACAAATTCAGACGCCCCACAATCGTAGTATTTCTCGACCTTAAGTCGGCATTCGGCTCTGTTGATCATGAGGTTCTATGGCAGTGTTTGTCACTGAAAGGAGTACCAAGGAAGTATATTAACCTTGTAAAGGCTCTCTACTCGAACACAACTGGTCGAGTGAGAGCTTATGGAGAACTGTCATCAGAATTGATTACCTCAAGTGTTGTTCGTCAGGGCTGTCCACTCTCCCCATTCTTGTTCAACTTTGTGGTCGACGTACTTTTAGAGATAACACTCTCCTCATCTAAATTTCCAGGGGTTGAACTTCTACCGGGAGGTTCACTTGTTGACTTAGAATATGCCGATGACATAGTTCTATTTGGTGAAGACGCTGACAAAATGCAGAGTCTTCTGACCACTCTAAGCAACAATACAAGCATGTTCGGGATGCGATTCTCCCCCTCGAAATGCAAAATGTTGCTTCAGCATTGGGTTGCATTGACATCCGAACTAATGATAGGGAGTGAAGTAATTGAGTGTGTCGACCGCTTCACTTATCTTGGAAGTCTCATCAGCCCTTGTGGTCTGGTGTGTGACGAAATCTCAGCACGGATACAGAAGACTCGACTAGCTTTTACCAACTTGCGTCATTTATGGCGTAGGCGAGATATCCGTCTACCAACCAAAGGACGTGTTTACTGCGCAGCAGTTCGTTCCGTCCTACTTTATGGCAGTGAAACATGGCTGGTAAGAGTAGAGGATATCCGTAGGTTACTAGTATTTGACCATAGGTGTCTTCGAAATATTGCTCGTATATCATGGGACCATCGAGTAAGTAACTCAGTTGTTAGGAAACGGGTAATAGGTAAGGATGGCAAGTTAATTGATGAAGTAGTGAAACTTCATCTGTTGAGATGGCTGGGACACGTGTTACGTATGCCCAACGACCGACTGCCTCGACGTGCGATGTTTTATGGTGTAGGAGTAGGTTGGAAGAAAGCTAGGGGCGGCCAGACCAAAACATGGCACAAGTTCATGAATTCACTGACAAGTGGACTGAGTCATGTTGGTAGGTGTAGACTACCTGGTTGGGGACCGCGAGATGAGAGCAACCGATGGTTAGAGACCTTGAATGACATGGCTCAAAATCGTTTGCAATAGCGCAGGTGCATCCACTCTTTGTGTTCTCCCAAATTCTAGTCTTCTGATTTCTTCATGTCCCTTTCTTCTTTTCTCTTTCCAAATTTATTTCACTGGATTATAGTCCTTGAATAACATCTTCAAACCCTAATCTTCCCGATTACAGCTTATAATCTTACTACATCTAGCACTACGGGATTTGAATCGACAATTGCATCTTTGTGCTAATGTGGTGTGGCAACTCGAACTGATGTACGTACGTACGAAGTTCTACGTTGTACTGACTGACTGTTAATAAGAATAAATAGAACTAGGATGACTAGAATGTATATGACCTACCGAATTGATTACGATAAACACTTACATGACGATTAAGAATTATTCAAGTTTCTGATGCGTTACATTATAGTAAGTGATTGCCGAAGTTTGCCATAAGTTAAGTATTCTTCTTATATGTCAAGTTGTTTAATTCATTTTCTAACTACTAACTTGGTTAAAACTTGGGACTTTTCGTTTTTGCGAATCAGTGAAATCAACCACTTTTTTTCAACCAGAGTTTTGAAAAAAAACGATTCATTTCAATTGATATTAGAAAATTTTTTAAAAGAAATTAAAACGTATCAAATTTACCAATGAAAAAATCATGGGTATGATATGTGATAGTGAAATTGAATACGATTTGTCACTGAATCTGGACAAACAAGCACTAAACTTACTGGCTACTAAATATTTAATTTCCTTTGCTCTTATTGATTTCTACTCCGAACCCATTGAGAGCGACTGCTTGTGATTGTGTGGAATAAATTTTCTAACGTTACTCTGATTCTCCATTCTTGGTCATAAATCTAGTATCTCCATTCATTTATTTGAAAACATAAATATTGTGATAAGTCTTGCAAATTGAACCTTATATCCGTTTCCTAAGCTATTCTGTAATCCCCAAGCTAGGACTATACAGCGACCTGAACACGAGAGAGAAGGTGCAAAGTATGCGAAAAGTACTTTACTCCAAAGGTTCATTTTAATGCAGAAAATATAGGGTTCTTATAATATTTTAAATGTCTTTGGGTTGCTTGAAGATTCTGGAGTGCTACTGAACATAGTAGCAGTAAAGCGATCAACCAATCAGAACTTCTACATGTGACGTTTCACTTCCTCGATGTTTCTGGCTAAAACTTCAAGTGAAAGCTGATTCGATGAAACGCTTGTTAGTGTTTCCTGATCCTTACTTGTCTTTTGCGAGAATTTTTCTGGATCACTCCAACATACTGGTACAAAGGGGCACCGAATACTTATGCGCCACATAAATCATTCGATTTGTGTGAGGGCTGTGATACTGCCTGGGTGCCCAAACCGAGGCAGGTGGTTTTCTTAGGGGACCGCACCCGGAGCCTTCGACCTAAAGGTCTGATCAACGAGGCATTGGAGAAACGTCAGGTGATGCAGTCCCATGATAAATGATGACCAATGTTTGGTTCATACACCATTTGCTCCCTTACCATCCTGGAGCCCATGTGCACCATTGGTTTGGAATCAGGGTTTCTTAACTCCCCTAGTTGGATCCTCCACATCTATCAACCCGATTAAAGCGCCGGACATTCGCTTTTTGTCCTCTCAATTTTGTAAACAATAGTAATACCACGAGAAGGCAGTGAGTAGGACTTTCTTGGGAGTGGTTGTATACACGTGGCCATGTGAGAGCATTTCGAGAGACAGAGCGGACTCTCCCCACCCTCAGCCGTACCAGGGTATTTGGGGGCAAAGCGTGGCAACTGGCTGTTGCAATGTAGAAGTGCTGGGCATCGATCCCGGGCCCTCTCGCATGCTAAGCTAGTGCTCTACCACTGAGCTACACCCCGTTTAGGGTATTAGCGTAGTGTACTACAGAGAGAGGGAAATATATCTTAAATCATCCGTTATATCAGGATTTCATAGTATCTTGTGTATAATTTCAACTAGAACATTTATCATTTACAGCATTTAGTTACATGAAAATTTCAAATTACTTACCGGGAAACATTCATTGAAATAGATAAATCACCGCTAAATTATAACAAATCAATTGGTTAAGTGACAGTTTATAATTTATCGATTGTAATAAATGTGCTGAATATAGTAACATCTTTAGCACATATAAACCTACACTATTTTTAGCCACTCGTAACTAACTGTATTAACTACATACTCCGTTATAAATACTCGATCGCGCCTGTAAATTAGCGTACAATTTTATGAACATTTGCAGAATATGTATAATAATAATACTAACTGCAGTCTATTTCCTATCGTTTGTATTTCTATAATTTTCATCTTATTAGTAGTAAATTTATACTAACTTAATTTTATGCTTTGTAGATGTTTATACTAAATATTTCTTATTGTAATTATGGCTAAAATCTTAAATATAATACTGATAGAGAGTAAGCCAGTCTGTGTAAAGAAGTATAATCCTAACGAAATTTAAATTTCCGTAAGTTAATTAGTTCCATCAAGAATACTTTACAGTATACAGAATAATAGTTGACATTATTTATTTTTAAAAACAAACAAACAAACAATTTCAGGATGCAATTCCAATGATTTCTCGTTTAAATTTCGATGAGAAATTTCGTGGTGTAATGTTGCATATTTTTGGAAAAACATTAATTTGTCGTAGTATTGAAATTGCAACTCAATTGGCTCGAACAAAAAATTTCGATTGTATTACACTTGACGGTAAGATTGCATTTTCTGGTGTCAATAATTTCTGAACATAGTTTATGCTAATTTATTGATTTTGTAACACCTTGTATTGATCGTTTTTTTTATACACTTGTAATCCAGAAGTTTCAGTGTTATTGTTTGTAAATTTACGTTATGGATTGACGTTAGTTTGACAACCGTTGAAAACCAGAAAGCAAAAGATAGATGTTTTCTTCTAGCACGGAACTCTCTAGTAGTGCTCATACACAACCTTACCAGGGGTAGAACCCTGGGTCCTTCAGACCTCGTGGTAAACACCTAACTTTCAGATTATTAGGTTGTCAATCAGCGGTTTACATGTATAAACTCAGTTAGTTCGGTACATGAAGATGAAGGAGCTGTCAATTACTCACAGGTTCTCAGTTGTCGTTTAAATAAAGTTAGTTCGTGATATATAATCATTAATTAAGCAATCTCGTCTCAATGCCCTACTTGAAATAAAGTTTAAGCATTTAGACTTCATCCCATAGGTTTCAGGTTGGAACTCTGTTTGAGTTACTTTGCTTTGGCCATCAAATCCAAGTGCATAAATCTGTACTTGACAAATGAGTTATATTATCATTCACTTTACATTTTTTGTGTGTATGTAATGCATATAATAATGTCTAATATTATTAGATTTAAGATAATAAAGAAAATTCTCAAGATATAAATGTTTTGATGGGAATATTCAATTTATTGACTTCCATTTTCTATAATGTTTAACGATGTAACTGAAACTGTTTCGCTTGTGTACTCGTTTGTTAATTGCAATAGTGACCATTATATTCATGTCCTTTTTGATTTTATTAAACTGTATTACTTGCTATTATTATTATTATTATTATTATTATTATTACCATTATTATTATTATAACTTGAACTACCAAACTATTATGATGAAAAAAAGCTAGTTAAAGCTCAACGTGTATTTCTTTTTTACATTGACAGGTGATCAAGTATCACGTAAAGGTACACTTACCGGAGGATATTACGACAGTCGATTATCACGTTTAGAATTACAGAAACGTAAACAAAAAACTGAAATTGAAATTCAAGAGACAGAAAATGTTCGTGAGAATAATGCTAAACGTAAGGAACAAGTTGATGCACAAATTAACCGTATCATTGACGATGTGCAACGTAAGGATACAGTAAGATCAAAACATGAGTGAGTTTATAAAAGTACTTGTCTTTATTTGTACATAAATTATTGATGTTATTTTTACTATTTTATTCGATGTTTCATTGATAAGGTTTGGGTCGTTTTGAATATCTCTTATGACTGAAGATGTTCATTAAAATGGAGTATACCTTCATTCTGCACTTAAGAAATGGAAATAATAATATAGTATAGGAACGAGTTTACATCATTTGCCCTTTGTCTACCTTGCCGAATAAATAACGGAAACCTAATAACAAAACAGTGGTGTTTATCAATAATAAATCGTCTCTGAATTTTCACTTTTTTTAATATTTCGCCTTGTGATAAAAGAAATAAAAAAATAATTTTAAAGCTATTCGTCTAATAATTGAGACGTAACCTTTTTGTGGACTACTTATGTGGTAAATGAGTTAATTGGCAAAGTTTTAACGTTTGTCTAATCTATTATTAAAAAAAACTCGTTACTATCGCTTTGTTATAAGAACTCCTTCAGTATATAAGCATTTGTCGCAAGCTATCAAGTGCTAGAGGTTTCTATGATCATTTGATATCTCAGGTCTATTTATGCACCCCTAGGGTTTCGATAAAATTAAATCGAGTCATATTAATGCAACAAATCTGTGGAAATCGTCGAGTTTTATAGTTTGGATTACGAAGTGGACCGTAGTTAGGTGACTATTAAAAAATATCAAGTATCAGACAGCCTTTTCGTCTTGGTATAGAACTCCTTGGTAGTGCGCAACCACTACCCCAATTGGATTTTGAACTCAGAACCTACAGATATTTTGGTGAGCTCTTAATCTTTAGACCACTGAGTCGTAATCCAATGGTTTATATTTTCAATTTCGACCAATTTTTGATGTTGCTCAAATATCAATAGAATTGGTGGGTAACTGCCGCTTTTCCGATATCATTGGACTCAAATGGTTACAGTTTCCCACTAGAAATTCGGGAATTACCTCTCAAATCTTGCGTAGTTTCTGGTTAGGAAGAATTATGACTAGTTATCATCTACGTATTTATGATGCATCTCAATTTTAAATTGGATTGAGATTATCATACAGAAACTAATTGGTTAGATAATAATAGTATTTATCAAAATATATCCTTCCAAATACTTTACAGTTTGAATGGTGAAATCAAATCTCGAGGTTTATCACTGCACAAACGACATTGCACGTGTTATAGAGGAGATTTATAATAATAACCAGTTATCTAGAGACTGCTTACTTTAACTTCCTAAACAAACTAAAATCCCAGATAATCATAAGTAACTCAGTGTAGCAGTAAATGCATGAAGAAAAACCAAGCACCGCAAACATTTGTGATACAGTGTTGAAATTGAACAACAGTGTTAGTTGTCAAATGGCTGTGCTAATGACTGAGGAAAGAGTAATCCATCTGTCAAACTCATCCGATATGTTTGAGTTGATGCTGGAGCTACTGTAATCTAATAGTTTTCTAAAAGATGATTATGTTAGAATTCAGGACGTGTAAATACTGCTAACGGATCAAAATTTAATATTTCTAATTAAGACAAAAAAAGTCTACTCAATTCTGGAATAGAAATAAATTAATGCAGGTTTTCATAGTTTCATCTTACTAAATATTAAGAAAGAAACGATTATTACTTATCAAGAACAGTTCAACTGAAATAATTATCTCTGTATTGGCGGATATAAATGAATAGGATAAGGTGATTAATTTAATTTCTAACTTACAAATCAATTGGTCCTTTAGCTCTCCTAGATATAACTCATTATAGGAACCAAATACAGTTATTACTGACTGTTTTAGTGAAAAGGTTAGGGAACTTTACTGAATATATTCGAACAGTTGAAGTTCGTACGTATAGAAAACACTTTGAAATTGATGTAATTGGTTTTGTTTTCTTGAAAATGAAATCTTATTGTAAGTTTATTTTTCTGCCTTTACTGTATTCGTTGCATTTTTATATATTTTAGAATGACATTTGATAAGTTGAAAAAAGATATTCATATGTGGAAAGAAGAATTACGTGGCAAACAAGAAACTAAACCACAGAAAGAGTACAAATTATCATCTTTACGTCACGACCTGGATCAGATGAAGTACACAATGGAATCTTATAAAGTTAGTTTGATACCATTTTGCCAATGTTAGCGTACTTATGTGATGAATTCATTTGTCACTTGAACACACAAGTGTTTTGAAAGAGGTTAGAACACTTTGGATAGGATGTAATTTTTACACAACATGAATTGGAGATTTAAATTATGGCTTTTTATTTTTTGTAGTTTTATTACAGATGAATATGTATTTCTATTTGATACCTTGGTAACCAAATTTTTACCCTTACACTTATTTGAATTATTTTAATATACCGTTATAGATACTGATTTGTCTAAATAATAAGTCAATAAAAATGAGAGTATGTAAAAGCACTTTTATTTTCAGTTTTTTCGTTTTCTCAAATCAATTCATATTCGTTCACTCATTGTGCAAATGTATTCAAATGAAGTAAGACATAACTCCTAGCTGCTAACTACCCATTCAAGCAACAATGACTAGTCTTTATTTGAATTTTCTTTGATACTTTTCGAGTTATTTTTCCATGTTGATAAATTTTGCTTTTCTAAAGGATATGGAATCAAGAAATCTATCTGATTTTTCTCAGTGATATTATATGTAAATTATTTTTGTATTTTAGTTCTTATCTCAGAGTTGGTTTTTGTATAGAGAGGAATATGATCAACATATTCTGATAACTTGACCAATAGATTTGTTATTTAGCTTTGATAAAGGTGATATACTAACAACACGTACCAGTCATTGATCAGTAGTAACAAGTATTATTTTTTCTGGTACATAGTGCTGGTAGAATTCGAGGAGTTAATCCATTTTTCACAGTGATGTGGTCAGAGTTGGTCAGTCGGCTAAACGCAACGAAAAACCTGGTACATGTCTATGTCGGTTCAAGTTGCCGTACTTCATTAATACAGCAAGATGAAACTGTCAAGGTAAATCTCAGAGTCGTAGAAGTAGTAACAGTGTCAGTCGTAGTACTAAAGATTAGGCATGGAAGATACGATTGGAGAAAAAAAATATAAATCCGTGAAATAAAAAGGTTATCAGGAATTCAGAAGTTTAGAATTTGAGGAGGGAAATCTAATCCTACTTTTCTGCCTAGGATCATGCATACATTTTGAAATGGTCAGTTGAATATTTGAGTGGTTTATTCTATTGATTAAAAGCTTAAATTAATCGAAAATCTCGTTTTTTACTTCTAGGTTGAATTAGGAACTGATTTATTGAGCCAGTTGTCAGTTCAGGAGCAACGTGAAGTTGATCGTTTAAATGATAAAATTCAAGAATTAACCAGAGAAGCTAAAGATGCTTATAAGTAAGTCACGTGTGTACATATTTTACATTGATTAGTTTGATTAAATAAAATTATTCATTTGTTTTTGTTGGGGATGCTAGATCCACAGAAATCGCTTGGTAAAAGTCTCATTTTTGTAATGTTATTTTGGAAATTTAGATCTCTCGTTCTCGCGCCAAAAGCCCCCACTTTCACTTTCAGTCTGTATTTCCCATTTGGAGGGACCATAAATGTCATTGGTTCGTTTCCTCTCTTAGTACGCTATTTTGTGACGTTTCCAGGGCCGTTTTGTACTGCATGTATACGCATGAGTTGTATGCTTGTTTGTTCATGCTTCCGGCTATTTGTGGAATATACATTTCCTTCGGCTGAAATCTGGTGTTCTCCCTCTAGTTAACAGGGCTGTGGCGCATTGGAATAGCCTAGCTTGTCCTGTTGTAGTATTACTGACTTTCGTTCAGTTCCCCTGTTTTAGGTGATATCGTATCAGTTTTCTTACAATAAATATTGTCATATAGACATTCTCATTTCATTCATTGCTGACGTCATCTAAAGTAGTGTACAATGAGAATTTAGAAACACCTAAGCGATTACAAATTACTGCGTCGTACTGATTCTGTAGTAGTAACCTTTGTTCTACTTCATTTTATTTTTTCCTCCTCTTATCGCACACTACTCAGTCAGTAGGTTTTTATTTGTATGCAATGTGGCTTTTTTGAGGATCTAATAATAAATTTCGAAATGCACCAATTTGCCAGATCTCTATCATCGTGATTATACATAAATACTTATAAATGTTTTGGGTAGCCTCTTAATGTTGCAAAGACTCAAACGGATTACATTAGTGATTTCTATTGTCAAGAAAAGCAGCTGGTGCACTAGGTGGAACATTTCATGTTTCATAATAGCGGGCTGTAAAAAGAGCGAAGCATGTATATTATGAACATAATTGGGAATTTTTGTACTTCGTACCAAAAATTCGTGATTATGCATTCTATTGACTATTTGAAACACTAAAACCAACCTCATTTGATTCTGAGTTTTTTTTTAATTTTCGCTTTAGACAATAATGAATCCTGAAATTGTATTTCAGATTGTAGATGAATGCATTTTGTTTCAAAAAGTCTGAACCAATAGAAAAACCAATACCTATTTCTTTCTCATTAGGATTAGTATACGTTAGCATGATAAAGTGCTAACGATTAAATGCTCAATGTAAGCCCAAATCTCAATATTCTGATTAGTCTATTTTAACCAATCAGCTCTAGTGAACGAATCAAGAGGTTTCTTATTGAAATTCGATGTCAACTTTGACGTTTCTATTACGATACGATGTTGTTTCAGTTCCCTGTAATATTTCTTGTTTTCAACCTATTCTTGTTTTGATATGTGATTGATCGAGTACAGTACAGGGGTTAGAAAGTTTAGATTAGGAATAACGTAATAATGGGGATGGAGAAAACTCAGAATAACGATTCCAAATCACAAACTAATTGGGACTCTGTAACAACAATAATCTCAGCTACTCTACAGTGTTTCGGCGTACTCACAAATATCATCCCCTTTTGTTAAGGCAATTCAAAGAATCATCCCAGAACTTATTTATGATTCCCAATAAATCATATTAACTATAAAATTATGTACAGATTTATTACTCTACATTCTTTAAAATAATATAGAATACGATAATGTCTACTTTCATTTTAATGATAAGTTAATAAGAGAAATATTCTGTTTAAGTTTACTGATTATATTTTTCTAATATGTTGGGTAAATAATTTTCTTCTTTTTCATCCCTCCCCTCGGTCCTAGGAAGAGAATTACATTAGAAACCGAAAAGAATGAAAAAGAAACTCAACTAGAACATAATTTATTAAGAAAACAAGAACAATTAGAGTCTGAGGTAGCTGAAGCTTCGGAACAAGATTTACAAGACCGTTTAACTGAATCAGAAGAAGAATTGCGCGAGGTAACTTATTGTTTTTTCGTCACTAATTAAAATTCCTTTTAATATTATTTCATGTTTTTTATTATTGTCTCTATTAATAGTGATCTTAACTCACTGAATAAGTGATTTTCAAAAGTTGTATTTGAGTGTAATATTCTGTAGTCTCTGTTGGTGCCTTATATACTTCGTAGATCTAGATTTATTATTTCAATGTAGTGCTGATAGTTTGTTCTCCATCTGTTGGTTCGAAAAGTTTATCTTGAATTTTTCTAGAAATACTGCAGCATTGACCTTAGCTTCATAATCGAAGTACTCTTGATTAACTAGACTCCCACTAACGGTCCTCTATGTGATGATAGACTAGTCGATGAAATCCATTCAAGAAGTAACTGGCATCAGAAACTATGTTTTCTTGTTATCTTCGTCGTCGATTCGATGGTTTGCGACTCGGATATAATAAATGACGAGTCATACGAACAGTTGAATTATTCTAACGAAATACTTTCTATAAATATTGTGGGATTATTTGAGAGAATTGAATAAGATATTGAAACCAGGTTTTCTTGATTAGGAGGCAAACCAATAGATAATAATCTTAACAACTTACTTGATGAATATCTATGCCTAGATTAACCACTTAATGGTCGAATCAAGCCACAATATCATTGTAAAGAGACCATTAGCTAGCTGCTAGTTTAAGTGATATTGGGGCAAGTTTCTGAGCAAACAGAAAAAAGACTGACTGTTGAATTGTCTATATTATATAATATTTTATGTGGTTTTTAGAAACAGAATTCAGGACGCTCACTTCATACTATTTAGGACTCGTAAGCTCATTTATGCCAGTTTTAATGTTTACACTAGAACTCAAACTCACTACTTACTACTTGTGACATTTTATATATATGCTCTCTACTAATACAAGTCTGACATTATCCTCGTTGCCCTAATCAGAAAACAAACGTTTATTATAAAAACATAACTATTGCTGTTTTAAAACCTTATTCAATATATATTTTTTTGGTTAGCTTTAGAGTATATCTTATGATTTTTTATAAATACTGTCAATAATATTAAGACATCTTAATATTTTGTTTTTATTTATCCTGTTGACATTGTTTGTCTAGGTTGAACGCCTTATTGAAGGTGCTCAGCGTACAGTAGATGAAGTGGAAACACGTTTATCTGCTCTATTACATGAACAACGTCAACTGGAATCAGAAATGGAGCGTAAAAAACAAGAAGAAAAAGAATACGCTGAACGTATACAAGATGATCAACAGAATTTAGAAAAAATGCAGTCCAAACAAAGTCAATTATTAAAAAAGGTATATTCACATTATTAGTATTTGCTACAATTGGAATTTTCACTTGTCAAATAATTTTAACCATAGTGAAGTTAGTTTTTATCACAGATTAATATTAAATTTCAACTAATTTGTACAACAAAACATTTATCATATGCTCCTTAGTGGCTTACTTAAAAGTTTTAATGATAAGTTGTGACTAGTAAAGTTCAACTATGTTGAGAGTGAAGATTATGTCGCACTATATTACAATTAAGTTAACCTATCCAATGTGAATCATAAGATTTCAACTTAATGGTTTAAATGTAACACGGTTGAAAACTAAAGATCTTGGTTTCAATTCCTGACAATTTTATAGTTGGATACTTCTGAGGAAATCACATAATTGAACAGGATATCTATTTAACGATCATTGATTTTCATTAATATTTACCCTGTTGATATTATTTCATGATGAAAACCAGCTTAAACTAATCTTAACAAGTCCCTAGACCGAACCTGTTTCTTTTAAAGCATTGTTTCGTTAAATTATAGGACGACAAAATGACGATTATTCGGAATATATGTATAGTACTTATGCATAATATTTATCTACTGTTGTTCTTCATATTCTCTGATAAACTAACTAGAAGTTTTAGGACTTATTTCTTTGATTTTCTTTTGAAAAATATGTTTACTTTCTAGTAATTTTCTCAATAAATGAACTTGTTAGACTAAACTAAGTTGTACATTCTTTATTCTTAGAAATAAAAGTGATATTTCGTGGATTAATTGTTAGAAGATTATGTACGGCATTTCATTGTTAGACTTTTCATTATGATATTTGTTAATGTATAAATCTTTTATAGATTATCCTCTCTTATATATATATATATATAATTATGATTTATCTTGATCATTGCAATCGACTTTTAGAGTCATATATTATCATTCGTCTATTCATTCAATTGATTTGATGTTCTATTCTCTTAGTTTAATCACATACTGTAGACAAAACATCAGAGCAAGTCTCAAAAAGCATATTTTTAGAATTTATTCACTGTTTTTTGCTTTGATTACTTTGATTGTAATTTACTGATTATGAAACTTTGCTGTTATGTACATCATTATTCATGTTAACCATTATTGTTAAAAACGATCTCTGACCATTTTATTGCATAAGCATTCCTTTATTAAGTGGTTATTATATGTATCTTTTTATGAAATTACTCGGGGTTAGCTACATATCTCTGGAGAACACAGATAAGGCATATTTCTTCAGATTTTTCGTAAGATTAGAATGGTACAATAAATATAAATATTAAGCGTTTCTGAATAATATCTATGCATTAACCTATTTGTACTCTGCTAGTTTGTTTCATTTGTAATTCAATATTTAATCATTATAAGTTAGATAAATTAACATTTAATAATGAATAAATCAAATCTGTTTGTAAAAGATTGTGTGGCACAAAACTCGTGACTATATAATACTTACAATATAATCAATGATAAACTAAAAGTAATCATACCTTGAATATCTTCTCACTACTAATTTGTTTCAACTAGTTTCCCTAGTTTTCACCTTGTTTATTCTAATATTTCTTTACATTCCTTTTAATTTCCCTTTTCTATGCTGTTGACGAATGTACACTATCACTCTTTAATGTCTTTTTATATCTGTCTTAAAAAATTTTTTTAGAAGTTCATTTCATTTGAGATATTTCATTAAGCCTCAATTAATTCACTCAGTTACATATGAAAACAACCGTTGTCTTGTATAGAAGTAAGTTACTTATATTGACATAAGTAGTATATGATGTTAGTCGTGAACAGAAGGTCTGACAGCATAGAGACAAGTGGATCGAACAGTAAAGAATGAAAACAGAATGCAATTTGTATGAAAATGCAAGAACAATGAAGTCTGAGTCATTTTGAGACAATTGGTGGACATTTTGAAAATTAAGCATTTACTTTATGATTGTTAGATTTTATTAACGAGTCCTGTAATTTCGTGTTAAATACATTCGATTGTCCCCACTGGGATTCTTGTTCACTACAATAGTAGTTGATCCGTGATTATATTATTGATCATCATTATAAACAATTTCTATAATCTGTATATACTTACATTTTCACAATTTAACAATCTAGTTTAAAACGTTTTATATCGTAAAAATTAGTTAATTATCATCAATATTAGCAGAATAATAATAATAATTTAATTCAATAAATAGCGGAAAATGAAACAAGATCAATCTTTACGACATCTGTATTTATCACTATGACAATACAACTATTCACACATATTCCAGATTTAACATATCTTTTAAATGTTTCTTATGAAAGTTAATTATTTAAAGCAGTGGGGAATTTTTTTGATTTTCTTTTTCCGGAATAAAGGAATCATTGTTTTGATACTCTGTTCCATTTCTAGAAAGAAGAAAATATGAAAAAAATTCGCGATTTAGGTTCTTTGCCAGCAAATACATTTGATAAATTTCAAGATAAAAATATGAAACAAGTATGTATATACGTATATATTTATATTTATGAAATAATTCGATAATCAAACTAAATAATTAACGAATTATTATTATTAAACTCACCGACCAAACATAAATTCTTATTAATGAGTTTGTAGGTATCATTACCAAGGTTTGATTTGGTAATTTCGAAACTTGGATTAATTTTAATTTGGTTATTTATTCTTTGACCGGAGTCAGACAAGGCTGTCTACTCTCACCCTTCCTCTTTCTTCTTGTGGTCGACTGGATTATGAAGACCTCGACATCTGAGGGAAAACACGGAATACAATGGACAGCTCAGAATCAATTAGACGATTTGGACTTCGCAAATGACCTAGCCTTCCTATCCAATACACATGAACAAATACAGATAGAAAAACAGCCAGTGTAGCAACAGTCTCTGCATCAGTAAGCCTCAACATACACAAGGGGAAAACCAAAGTCCTCAAGGTCAAAACGGAGAACATAAGTCCAATCACTCTTGATGGAGAAACTCTGGAAGATGTAGAATCCTTCACATACCTGGGAAGCATCATCGATGAACAAGGAGGTTCAGATGCAGACGTAAAGGCGAGGATTGGCAAAGCAAGGGCCGCATTCCTACAATTGAAGGACATATGGAACTCAAAACAACTTTCAACCAATACCAAGTTGAGAATCTTCAATACGAACATCAAGGCAGTTCTACTGTACGGAGCTGAAACTTGGAGAACTACAACAACCACCATTAAGAAGGTACAAGTATTTATAAATAGTTGTCTACGCAAGATACTCAACATCCATTGACCGGATACCATCAGCAACAGCCTTTTATGGGAGAGAACAAACCAATTTCCAGCTGAAGAAGAAATTAGGAAAAGACGATGGAAATGGATAGGACATACATTACGCAAATCGTCAAACTGCATCACGAGGCAAGCCCTAACTTGGAATCCTGAAGGGAAGCGAAAAAGAGGAAGGCCAAAGAACACATTACGTTGGGAAATAGAAGCAGATATGAAAAGGATGAATGACAACTGGAAGAAGCTGGAAAGGATTGCCCAGGACAGGGTTGGATGGAGAATGCTGGTGAGCGGCCTATGCTCCTTCAAAAGGAGTAACAGGTGTAAGTAAGTAAGTATTTATTCTTTGAAGAAGTGGCCCACACTAAGTCACGAAACGTCAGAAAATCTGATTTTTCTCCTAATTGGGATATTAAAACTATATTATTTATTTATAAATTCTTATGTTTAGATTGAAGGCACACTCCAAGTATGAAGTCTAGTGATAATACATAACTGCTGAATCCAAAGTAGGTGGGTTTGAGTTCGAAACTGCTATATAGTGGCTGAAAATCGAACACCTTAACTACTGCGCCGCTGCTTCAATACAACTATATACACTTGTGTTTGAGAGTTATTGAGAATACTTGGTTGGCTTTTAAGTCGTATGAATCTCATGAATGAATTTGTTTGAACTGCTTATTCTATATCGGAGATATTAATACTATTTTAGAAAGTCGTTTTGGATCAATATGGGTTTTATTTTCCCACATTATTTAATTCCCTATGTATGTGGAGTATCAAAAAGCTGTATAACAACTTTTATACATGTAAAGTGATTAGTATTTAGGCGATAAAATGGAGTTTTATTTTTTGAGTTGGATGGTTTAATTGTGAAGTTTTCATTGTTCTTCTGAACGGCATAAACACAAACTTTAGGCAGATCTGTGAGCTATTCAAATTTCTTCGCATATGACTGATAGCTTGTCTTATCAACCATCCAGCTCAAAGAACAAAACCTCGGCAAAGAGAGTTTTCAGACCAAAATGTTCTAAAAGAGATTACTAACATAATTTTCCTTACTTCATATATTCGTACTGCTTAGACTGTTTAAACTTCACAAAATTTTCGAATGTAAAGAAAACAAGTATTTACTTCACTTTGATTTAATTTCATTGAAACAGTACTTCAAATTTCTAGTTCTAATGCAACGTTTTGATCAATGAAATCCAGTCATATCGATTGTGAGCCTATTGCCCACCAATGGCATTGGAAAAATGCAAACCACTGGATGCCGACCCGGTGGTTCAAATGTTAGGTACTTTCTGCGAGACCGAGACTTCAAGATTTTGGGTTCGGTTCGCAGTGAGATATTGTATGTGACGTTGAATAATCACTAAACTGAATTGTGAAAATTCAAGAATTTGCATATATATATATATATATATATATATATATATATATATAGTTTGCTTACCATTTTAAAATCTTCAAATGTTGTATCTTATAAATTTTTATTCTCTTTGAATTTAAGCTATTCAAACTTCTTGATAAAGCTAATCGTGAATTAAAACGTTATAGTCATGTGAATAAAAAGGCTTTGGATCAATTTGTATCACATTCAGAAGAGAAAGAGAAATTATTAAAACGTAAAGAAGAATTAGATAAAGGTTGTCAAGCGATTAAAGATTTGATGAATGCATTAGATCATCAGAAATATGAAGCTATTCAATTAACATTTAAACAGGTTCGTTCAAGTGTTTTTTGTGTACGCGCGTGAGGTTGTTTGATTTTCAATCTTTATGAAACTACTATTTCATGTTAATTTCATTCTGTCATTTTAGAAGAATCAATATATCATCCGTTTTATAATTTATTAAATAGTTAATCTAAGTAATTTAATGTTTAACAAGAGGAAGGATATTATCAGGATAAATTACTAGTAATATTGACAACTACAGTTCCATTGAGTGGTCCATCTATCAAACAGGAATATACTTTCCTATACTTCTCTCGATTCACGATAACAATTTTTTTATGTTAGGTAGTTGGAAGTAATCGGCTTGGCGGTAAATTATCAAGCTGTGAAACTGGGTGACCTAGGTTTGAATTCAGCGGAAGCATCATTCTCCTAAAGGTTTCACATACGCCTTGCAAATGGGTGCCAACTAGCATAGGATTTCCTACCGACTACTTCCAACTGCCTAACTTAATGGACACAATGTCGATTCATTTAGACTGGTGGCCACATTAGAAATCAGTCGATAGGATCCAATTAGCACTAAGAACTAGGCAAATATGAAATTAGCCACTACTGATTGATCAATCAATATATATATGACACGAGTTTACAAAATTCCTAATTTCTGATTTTCAAGAGATGATTGTAAAAATAATATATCTGGATCACTATATCGTAGTGATGTAAAAAAAGACCATACTGAATAAGCATTCGTAGTTAACGTATATTTTTGTAATGAGGTTAATAATTTTTTCGGCAGTTTTTTTGTCAAACTATAAGTTATTGTCACATGCTACTTTTTATTTCTACAATTAAAGGTATCTAAAAATTTTCAAGATATTTTCAAACGACTTGTACCTGAAGGTCGTGCAGAATTGGTAATGAAAAAAGGTGTCCGTGTAAGTGCTCATTTTGGTGTAGTTAAGCTTCGTGATCTTAACTGTTTTATTTATCACCAATAATAAGTATTCGAGCTAATTTCTGAATCGATAACTGTATTCCCACTTATGATATCTAGGTTGACCTTCAGTCAGTTTTCCTAATCTTCAGCATCACCTGGGTTATTTGTTTAGTAAAATTCAAGTTTCACATCACGGATTGACTTTGGTTAGACAATCATTGGGAACCATTAAGCACTAGGCGGTTGTCTCGTCCTAGCTTAGTGTGAACTTTCAGGTCCTGACTGGGGGTCCAATTGTTTGCATTCCAAGCCATAACCAGCTTGCTAAGATCCTGAGTCTAACGTCTTGTGGAGTCGTAGATGGACCTATTTAGGTGTATCATACCAGGATGGAACAGCTGTCCAGTACTTACTGGTCTAATTGAAGTTATTTTTGACTTGGTTTACATAACATACTCGAATTCGAATTCGTTTACGAACCGGAAACAATCAGACAGTGAAATATATATGGATGAACCAATTAGTAACTACATTAATCAATGAAAGGGAATCCATTTTTTAAAGCCACAAGAGAGAAAATTACTCAATGAATTTATTATTATTTGTAAGTAATATAGTTAGATTGCATATAAATATCATATTATATTAAAGTCTGTAAGATAAGATCCTCTTAAGTTCGCAGTACTAAATGCTTGTTTGTTGAAAAATAATCAGTGTTGTTAAGTTTTCTCTGTTATGGACTGTTATTCATTTCGTTTTTTAAAACATTTTTCCGTTATTTCTCCTTAATAGCAAGAAGGTGAAGGTAGTAGTGATGAAGATGGTGGTGCTGATAGTAGTGTTATTCCCGATGTTGAACGATTTATTGGAGTTGGTATACGTGTTAGTTTCACTGGTGATTCAGCTGATATGCGCGATATGAATCAATTATCTGGTGGACAAAAATCACTAGTTGCTTTAACTTTAATCTTTGCTATTCAAAAATGTGATCCAGCACCATTTTATCTGTTTGATGAAATTGATGCCGCATTAGATGCACAATATCGTAAAGCTGTTGCTGATATGATTAGAGATTTGAAATCGGAAGCACAATTTATCACTACAACATTTCGACCTGAATTATTAGAATCAGCTGAAAAATTCTATGGTGTAAAATTTCGTAATAAAGTAAGTGTAGTACTATCATTGAAGTAATTGCTTCTATGAATTTGATGTTTATCTTTTTGTGCGAACGAGTCATGAAAACTTGGATCTATGTATATATGTGCCTGGTCCTACGTTGTAGATGACTGACCAACTGAATACAGTTGTTGCTTTTTTCTTTTTAAAATTATTCAAGCTTGTTAAGTTTTATTTATTTTATAACAATACTGATGTTATACTCAATTTCAATTTAGTGTTTAATGAGTGTTACAATGTTAACCTAGTTATTCGTTTTAATGGTCATTTTTCACTCGATAGATAGATGAAATTAATTAGGTCGATTATTTGTAACAGGCAGTTCTAATTTTTTTTTTAAATCCCAATTAATTATAATTATTTAAATATACTATTAATCGAGTTGTGTTAGTAATTTTGTTATGAATTCAACCGTCCATATAACCCACTAAATACAATCATTCGACTTATGGAGAAGATTTATGACGGGGTTCATTTTATGTCAATCGGACCAATAGCGCAGATGGCCACCAACAGCGATCTGTAATCTTAACGCTTATTGACCCACACAGCTCTCTTATCCCCATTAACATTAAAACACGAAGATAACATATTGATTTTCCTTATATTATTGGCGTTGTTCCTTGATTCAAAAACCCATATGATTATATAAATTAATTACACGGCCACAACCTACCGCAAATAGGGAATTACAACTTGTACATAACTAGATTATATATGATATAAAACTGAGTTAGTATTAGTATGAAGTGCATAAATAATTTTCCGTAAAACATATATCAACAGTTATTAAGTGTAATGAAAGCTTAAAATAGGAGCATTGCAAAGATTATAATAAGCCAAATATTTAATAAATACACATAAAAAATATGTGTAGTTAACCAACTCTAGAATAGTTCCAACAGTTCCACCTTTCCCAAATACTCATTCATATCTAGCAAATTGTTATAAATTACAAAATTAGTATATAATAAGAAGACCTCTTCCATTGAAGTGGGCGAACTACTCAAGCTCATGAAATCTCTTAGTTTATTTGTCTTATCCAAATGAATGGGTCGTATTGGGTTCATGACAATTCGCAATACTTATAAACTGTTTATATCAGTTAACTATACTTTTTTTATTTTAATAACTAAGCACACTTAGAATAAGAAAGGTTGTCATATATCAAAATCTTCCATTCCTTTGTAAATATACGCAAATGTAATATCCTGTTTGATAGTACAGTTTTAATGTCAACTGTACTACCTTGGTGAGCCATTTATAGGAAGTACGTGGTGAATGTATTTTTTGTGATATGATTGTTTAATTTTGTTTTCGCTTATCTCGGCTTAAAACAACGTACAGAACTGTGTACAGTTTCTAACCATTATTTTATTTATTGTTCGACGTACCTATTTTGACCTTGTCACTTCGTTTATTTGAAGATGACTTACATCACGGACTGATCCTAACTGAAGAGATATTAAGAACGAAGGAGCGCCAGATAGATGTTTTATCTTCAGATGTAACTACTCAGTACTTTACACTATTAATGCCTCCCGAGGTTGAACCTAGAACTCACTGGTATCTCACTGGACCCATTACTTTGAGACCATTGAGTTGGTGACAATTGTCCACATTTCTAACTTCACTTAGTTTGTGGGACCTAACCCGACCATCATTCATTCTCATTGGTCATTACAGGTCTTACTCTTGAGATAGGTGAATATCATCTACCATTGTTACTCCTAATAGGATGTTTGAAAATTCATCTCATGGTTGTTTTGGTAGACAGATTTTTAAAATCTTGATATGCGAATCTGAGTTACTGTGACATTGTTGATAATATTTATCGATACATTTATTCTTCAATCTGTGTCATTTTCTCCATAAAATAACTCTTGTTTTGTTATTCATTTTAGGTTAGTCATATTGAATGCGTAACTAAAGGTGAAGCACTTGATTTTGTCGAAGATGATCAGACACATGGATAATTTTTACATGAATGACAGTGATCATAACCTTTGTGTTTCATGTATACACTGCTTGTTTTTTTCTCTGTCATCTTCAAGCATATGTAGAGGATATTTATCTACCTGTCTTGTATATATCGTCGTCATCATCAAAAACAGATAAGTAAATTCCTTAATACTCATGAAAATGAGCAAACTAACAATTATGACATTGTTTTGTTAATATTGGCATTTAACGGAACTTCTCCGTAAAAAGTAACAACCAATTACAGTTGAATGTATATTACCCATTTGATCGTTTTTATAATATTTCCACGTAATAAATACACACAACATCCCATAAACTAATTAATTATTCCCATCTTTTTGTGTTTGTCTATTCTATTCATCTTTTTCCTGTACTACACTTTGCATTTATTTTTTGTTAAACATTATTCTGATATTTGTTGGTTTGTTTTTTACTCACATAAAATATTTTGTATACCCTATAAATAATAATATTTTGATAATGAATTTTTAGTTATTGTTTTGACTAGTTTCTAGTTAGTTTTAGTCAGTGAAATAGTGCTGTAAATTGTTCAAAGACTTGACTGACTACTACTTCCACTTTGACAGATTAGTAGTATTAATAGTCATCACTAAGTAAATGTTATCCAAAATCATATGCAGAAATCTGTACTTGATAAGAGGTGCTTGTATTCGAAATTTCAGTAAAGTAATGCAAATTCTTGTTCTCTATTTTTATTCCTAACGATTTTATGCGCTTCAAACTATATGATAGTGATATTCCGTTGTTTGGTTAACTACATAGTCTTTAAATGGCATTATCTTGTTAAGCTCAACATAAATATGTGCTACTAGGCTGTAAAGATTCATTTTCATTAAGAGATAACTGGAGAGAAAAATCATGTCACTCTGTTAAATTCACAAACACTTCAAGTGACTAAAACTTGACTAAAGATAAATTGTCTACAATCGGTGAGGTAACTTCTAGACCAAGTGTATTCGACGGATCTTGTGTTGTGATATTAATTGCAGGTTCGAAAATCTAGGTTGAATGTTGTAACACCAGAAGTTTTATTAGGCAGTAACCATGGGCTAAATACAACAGGCTTTAGAACACCTTTTCCACAGTTGAATCATTATACTTATGTAAAACCATATAAACCCGTGATAATGTGGATAAGTACTATTGAATTCAAATGGTGACGTTGGGTTCAATGGTATGTATTGAATCTTATTGCTCATGAGAAAAAGGCGAAATATTTTTTGAGTTCGTCCTAATTTTTATTATCGTAAAATTTAGTATGTAGATTAGTTGCTTTGTTTCTGTTAACATTTTTAAGGTTGAGCCTAGTTTTTAAAACAAAATCAACTAATCTTTTAAGAGGATTAAATTCCCAGCAATATTATATATTCAAATAGTTAAAATAAGGATTATACATTGTCGGAACTTGACTATTTTAATTGATCTTGTTGGTGGGGAAATCTCAGGATGGAAAAATCGATATTTAACACTGAAAATTCATATCATTGAAGTATGAACAATTCAAACAATCGTACAAGCAAGAGCGAAATCGTTTTCATTTAGATCATTATCTTGCCCTACTTTATTCTATAATTATGCTTAAACATATAATAGGACGAAACAGCTAGTTGGTTTTCAATAGCTGTCAAACCAAAGTCTGTCCATGAATTGCAATCGAACAACTATGTACGACATTCAAATATTACTTAGAATTACTTTTGACGACAACGTAGCTTTGGGGAACAAACGATGTCAATCAAATATAATACGAAACAATGTATTTTTGTAGAAAAAACCAACAACTTAGTTTTCGTTGTCCATAAAATTTTTATTATCTGATTGTTATTTTCTATGCATATTGATCATAAGAAAATGAGATAATAATCATGAAAAGAAAGACAAAAATATCAGGCAAACTGATCTCAATCATGCATATATATATATGATATAACAATTATAGTAGCAGTATAAAAAAATATATGGGAAACTGACAATGTATTAAAAAGAAAACAGCACAAATAAATTCAAAACGAATATGAATAACTAGAAATAAGTCATAAGAAGATAGAAAATTATATATCATCTAAAGATGTATAAACTCAATTCAGTAACATAGAGCACATCGGAAAATAGTCACAGTTCAAGAGTATAAACAAATTGAGAAAAAAAAGATCAAATAAACAGATCTTATTGATTATTTCAATGGTTAAGATCATGAGTCAGTTGAAGCTAGACCATCATGGGAAACCTGGAAGCACTGGACGAAACGGCCATCCAGTGCATTCAGGTTTTCCATGGTGGTCTACCTTCAACTTACTCATGATCTTAACCATTGAGATTACAACAATCTCCACAAAAAAAACCCATCTGATTATTTGTTTACTTACAACAAGGTAATTTAAACAAATAGATAAAGAGAAGTATCTTCTTTTTTTCAAGTAATAATTCACTAATTAGATAAATGAAGAAGATGTAAAACAAACATCTCTATGTGTATATACATATACAATTAATCAGTTAGATAAGTTTAAAATAAAATAAATGATGAATAGATCATTCTTAATTGTTTCCATTGAGATTTTTCATCATCATTATTATTAAACATGAATAATTCACGACGTATATGATTCAATTGAATAAGTGAATAGATTTGTTTACGTTCTAATTTTATAGTTAATTTTGGACTTTTAAACAAATCAATCTCTGGTAAATAGACGTGCTGTAGTAATTCGTATAGATCATTATCTTTATAAATAACTGATTGATCCATAGACGGAGTCGTAATGTTGGAAGATGAAATCATAGAAGGACTAATGGTATTGTTATTATTATTATTGTTACTGTTAATATATTCAGAGTATAATATACATTTCATAATATTTGTTTGAGTATAATCTTTAAATAAATGTTTTAATCTTTCATAGACAATATTATTAGTAAGGTAATCAAATGAGATTATTTGATCATTACCACTATTATCATATTGTTCAGTACAAGTATCATTAATATTTCCAATACTACCACCTTTAAATCTAATTCCATATAATAATTGTTCTAAAGTAACAGATTCTAGATTCAATTGTTTTTCATTTGTGGTTAGATTCATTTCATGCATAAATACTTGTGGTACAACGTTTGCGACTATTATTGACTCACTTTCACTGTCTTCAACATTTGGAAACCGATTTAATTCCAATGAAATTTTAGATTTCTACAAAAACAAGTTGAAATATAACACATCAGCTTTATATTTGATTATAGTGTTTCACATTACTTATACGTACATTGAAATAAATAAAAATATAACCGTTGCAACAATTACCTATTAATTAACAAATAACATTCAGTAATTATTCTAAACTCATTTGCTAGTTTCGACCGACATACTTTAATAGCTAATCCACTTGCCAAGTTTAATAGGCAGATATTTTATCGTACTGAACTAATGGAGTATGGTAACTTGAACCGATGTACACACGTACCAAGTTCTAGGTCGCATCTCACTACTGACTGACATTGTGGTAACAAAAAGTAGCAGATTATTTTTGACACGTTCTTGAATCATATTTTCACCAGAAAAGCTAATTCCAAGCTCACTCCAACAGGTCTGTAACAGTGAATAATTCTTTAAAATAAATTGTTTAGTAAGGACCCGACATTGATCATAATCCAGTTAACTAAATTGGACACTACTGGCTGAAGGTAGTAAATCAAACTTCACAACCAGATCACAGCATGATATAACATGAAACTACTTTCCTAGTTTAGATAATCAGTTTGAAAGTTCCACGTTCATCAACCTCTGTTTACAATCAAATATGATTTACGACTTAATCATTATCGCTTTCTTCATTGTTTCTCCTTTAGCAAATTTGCTGAAGAACACTTAAAACCGGCATTTCCTGGTTGTATTGTGTCCAATGTATCATCATAGGTGAACACGATGTGATTTGGTAATCATAAATTTGTTCCTTGATTTCAACTGAATATTTTTTATAGATTTATTTTACTTTCTATGCTCTCTTGTTTTCATATAGATATATTTCTAATCTCATCATGACAAAACACACTCTTAAATTAATTTGACTAAAAACTCTGATGTTTCTAGCACCATATCTGATTCTACATAGTAACAGCTTTCATTATGTGTTTTTAAATTATTTTTAGCAATATCAATGTGTTCAAACTGAAAAAAATAATAACCAATTTTTAAGTAGTCATTTTAAAATGCAATGAAATCTAAAGTAATTCTGTGCAATCAAGTCGGTTCTAAATCAATGGCCTGTGAAAAAATATTGTTCCATAGTTAAATGGCTAAAGTAAGTAGGTAAAGAGTTGTAGACCGAATTTAATTGGAAGTTTCCACTTATGAATAAAAAGTGATTAGAAAAGCTCTATTGAAATGTCACTGAGTATGACGTTGGATAACTTGTAGATCCACGTACATTATTGGTGACTGTTAAGAAGTTAAAAAATCAACCATAGAGCTCCTTCAGCAATACTGTCTAGAAGCAGATGAGTAATTTGCAAATAATTGACTGCTAAATAGTGACCAATTTCATGTTTGTCTAGTCCTTTCATTGTTGATCAATTCGCAATGTAGCTAGTAATCTAAGTAACTCGACATCAAGTGGATAATGTTGAGATGTTAGGTGATTAAAGGTAGTTAACTGGAAACTGTGGATCTAGGTTTCGTACTGGTTGGCATTCGTGTGCAATGTGCAACTTAATCTTCAAAAAATTAATGTTTAGTCTAAATAGTGCTGATGATTATTTATTAATAGCGAGAAGGAACAATGTTGAATATATAATAAAACTCACATTCATAGCTCGATATGATTCTCGCACTAATTTTTTTCGTGGTTTGTACAACATTTTTGATTGTTGCTCTTGACGAAAATGACTGCCTGATAAATCGTTGAAAGATGTTGATGATAATGTTAGTAATACTGGAATTTCCTTACATAAATCAGGTTCTGATTGTGAATATTGTTTGTAGTGTGCTCCTGATGCTGTGGACGATTTAAATAGCTGTGATGCCACAATTTGTTTTCGCGTAAATGACTCATTTATATTATGATGAATTGATTGTCTAAACCTAGGAAATTTCGACTCTTGATAAAACATTGAAAGTCTGTTCTTTGATTGGTTATCTTCGGATGCTGGATCGTCGTCAGTTAATTCAATATCGGTCTCATCATCAATACAATCACTATTATCAGTGTCTTCAGTTTCTTCATCTATTTCATCATCATCACCATCGTCATCTTCGTCTTCATGATCATCATCTTTATTGTATATATCATTTTTGTTATGTTTTAATTTGAACTTGGGTGAACAGAGTCCTCTACAATCTGGTAGTAAAAAAGAAAAAAAACACTTCATGAATATAAGATGATGAGAAATAATCTTCAAAATAAGTCAAACTAGAGAGCACTGAACAGTTGTTTTGACCTGGATTCGGGACATTTCAGCAATCTGTAAC